AGTCTTAAATCAATACCTCATTTTTCTTCCAAAAGAACAGGGACATTGAAATCCTTCTGCTGACCTTTCTGCTGGCCTCCAAGGTAGAATCATTTGTCAATCATTTCAAAGCCTTCCTATTTTTACCTTGATTAAAATATTTCTCCAAACTCCAACACAGAGGGCATGCTGGAAACAGGAAAAGTTACAAAGTATTTCCCTGAAGAGAGGTGGTGTGTGTGTGTTCATGTGTGCTTGCATGGGTATAGGTATGTGTATGCCTCCCTTTCTGTGTTTACATGTATGTGTGCTTGTTATGTTGGACATGGATGCAGTTGTATTCTTGCTGATTATGGGTAAATAAAGATGAGCCTCATGGGGCAACTTGACCAAAGCAGCTTTCAGTTTTGGATCTAGTTCATAGCCCTTTCTTAGATTTTTGTTTTTTTTGAGACAGGGTTTCTCTGTGGCTTTTGTAGCCTGTCCTGGAACTAGCTTTTGTAGACCAGGCTGGCCTCAAACTCACAGAGATCCGCCTGCCTCTGCCTTCAAGTGCTGGGATGTCTTTTACTACCTCCCAGTAATGCTATCCCGTTACAAATCCATTAAGTGATTACTCTATTGATTAAGTCAGAGCCCTCATGATTTAATCGTCTCTGAAAATGCCATTATAAGCACCTAATAAGCATCTAGAAGTATGATTCGCTAATCCCCAAGGCCTCTATTAATCCAATCACTTGACAATCAAGATTAAGCATCGCCAGTCTACAGACCCCACTTCTACATGGGAACAAAAGAATTTCAAGGCATGCTCTTAAAACTCTATATAGACAATGTGACTCAAGGGCCTTGATTTGGTCTGTCTGGCTGTGTGATCTGTGACCTGTGGAACAACTCAATTTGGTGACATATTTGGAGGCTGCTATATAATCCTCTGGATGACTTTGGAATTTTTCAAATCTAGTTGCTGAACAAAGAAATCCGAAGTATCCTTTGAAACGACCTCTTGGAGGAGAGGCCCTGAGCCTACAGCCATGAGTACATTGTTAGGTACATGCATGAGGTCATCTTGGACCATCCAGCCCGTTCAGGCTTCAGATGACAATAGCTGAAAGAATGTGCTAGAGCCACAGTCCTTGGATTTGAGTCTTTACTGTGTATTGGCAGCATTGCCCCCATGATAACCGTCAGCTTTTCTATTGCTCGTCTGTCTGAGATGAAGACATAGTGTTCAGTTAGCTGATCTGTTGAATGGGCATACAGACATCTACATTATAGGGCTGTGATAAAACCAATGAGGTGATACATATGAAGTGTTTGGAACAGCATCTGATACATAGTCAATGTTCAGCAACGCTAGTCGCCATTACCGGGCTCCCATAGATACCCCCCCCAACCTATATTTGACTGGACCCTAATTTGAGAACTTCCTAGCCAGCTGATAGATGCGAACAAGCCAGACCTTCTAACCACTTCCTTTCTCTGAAAACCTGAATAGCCCAGAGCTGAGCAAAGAGAGAAGAGAGGGAGTAAGAGGTTTTGTGGTTTGTACATGTATATTCTGTGGAGAAGCACAGGATAAATCAGGCCTGCAGGTGGGTAGCAAGAAAGGCACTGAGTATATATGACTTGTCAGCGAGGTGACGCTGTTAACAGGGTTAGAATGTGGGAGAGGGAGAGAAGGGGTGGAGCTCCAGGAGGTGAATTTAGCCTGGGCTCATCCCAGCCAGGTCTTCACTTCTAAAGGTAACAAACAACATACTCTAGTTCAACACTTATGCATTTCTTCTAGGTGCAGCCTGTCTCATAAGTGTCTTGCGTCTCCATTTTATTTTTCCTACTATTTTACACATGAAAGGCATTCCAGTAAGTCCCCATATGAACAAATACTTATCAGGTCAGGTTTGTAGTATCTCTTTTATCATCTAAGGCAAATAAATCACAAGGATAAGCCCACAGTTAGTAGGCAGGTGGACTATCCAAGCCAGTGGACAACAGAAATTTAATTTGTTGAGTGTAGTTGAACTTTCTTTGGGACTGCCAGCTCCCCAGTAATAATACAGAGACTTATTATTAATTATGAAAGCTTGGCCTTTAACTTAGGCTTGTCCCACTAGCTCCATAACTTAAATTAACCTCCTTCTACTAACGTGCCACACTTTTTACCTCTCTTCCTTTCTGTCTGTATGTCCGACTCTCTTCCTGTGTCTTGCTGGCATATTCCATGTAAGCCTAGATTCTTCCCAAGTTCCTCTCTTTCCCTGGAAGTCCCACCTAACCTCTCTTGCCCAGCTATTGGTTATTCAGCTCTTTATCAAACCAATCAGGTGCCCTAGGCAGGCAATGTAAAACAGTGACCCATACTGTTTGTTCAAATATCCTGCAGCAGTTGGGAATGACTATTGACAATATACTACTTAAATTTTAAAGAAAAGGTCTTTTATGTAGTTTAGGCTGGACTTGAATTTACTATGTAGTTAAGGCTGGCCTAGAACTCCTTGATCCTCCTGCCTCTGCCTTCTAAGTGCTGAGATTACAAGTGTGCCTCACCACTCCCTGATTAATCATGTACTATTAATATGTTTAGGAAATGGCTGATTAGTGCATCAGGCAGGGTTCTGCAGAGAAACATAATCTATAGTGTGTGTGTGTGTGTGTGTGTGTGTGCATGCGCTTTCAGTCCATCAGCGACCATCTGCATGCTAGAGAGGCTGAGAACACAGAAGCCACTCAGTATTGTGAGGACATGAGTGGTCACAGATCAGCACTGGAAGAACCAGGAATGTTGACCACACAGCGTTGTCTCCTCAATGGAGGAAATGGATACATTTTCCTCCCACAAGGCTGGCAGTGGATTTTTTTGTTTTTCGGATAGGGTTTCTCTGTAGCTTTGGAGCCTGTTCTGGAACTAGCTCTTTTAGACCAGGCTGGCCTTGAACTCTCAGAGACCTGCCTGCCTCCCGAGTGCTGGGATTAAGGGCATGCGCCACCATGGCCTGGCTCGGCAGTGGATGTTGTTAATGACCTGGTGACCTTTGCTATCTATAAGTGCCAGGCCTCACCTATATCTCCCGGAATGCTTGTCCCAGGCTCTTCCTCCCCAGACCTTTAGCTTTGTTTCTCAGTCAGTAGAACCCATGCTTACCTTTATGCTATCTCAGTCAGAGACGAGGCCAGATCCTAGGCCCTTAAACTACACATCCCAGCTTCATGGTAGAGGTCACATGGTACACTGCCAAAGACATTCGATGAGGTACATCTTACCCTTTATTGTGCACATGGGATTGGGACAGTTGTTACCAGGAAACTTTCTTCAAGAGTTATTCTGTACTTAACTATGTCTAAAATAAACTAGCCTGGTGCCAGACTCCAGACTATCTAAGTCATGCTGAACCCAGTTCCCTCCTTGCCTCTGGTGGTGTGTTTCTCTGCTGGCTGTAGAGCTAGCAGGGACTCCTACACAGTACAGGAAGCACAGTCCAAACCTGGTGCCGAGGACCTGGGAGATTCCTGGAGGGTTTCTGATCTGCATTCCAAATCGGAAGGTTGAAGAAGCTGAACGGTGGTGTCAGGGGAAGGCAGCGTCAGTAACAAAGATGGACATGTTCACCAGAAAGATTCAAAGGCAGGCAAACAAGTGGTACTGACTTCCCAGAGTCCTCTTCCTCTCTGGTCACCTGGCAGAAGGTGCTACCCAATCTAGCCAAGGGTCTTTCCCCCTCAGCTTGGACACATCAATTTTAACTAAAGCGTTTGTGAAAATTTAACTGATTGGGTCCTCTGACATACTTTAGATCACCTCTCAATTATTTGCAGTAACCAAGGAAGTCTAAGTACATGAAATAGTTATTGCTCTGATGTATTAGGGGAATAATCACAAGAGAAAAAAAAAGACATGTGCTCCAGGCAGGGGCACATTTTCCCCCCAAGTACTTTGGATCTGAGACTGATTTCATCTGCAGATTCAGAACCATAGTTAGAGAGGGCTGACAGTACCGTCTTACCCGCTTATAGCATATTTACGAGACACAAGGTTCTGAGCTGGCAGCAGCCGTGGTTACGATAAAGATGGGGATTTGGATCTTGATTACACTTGAGTAGATTTATCGTCTAAGCAGATTTATTTTCTAAGATAGGGTGCCTAAGTGTCCTTAGATAGGTTCAGATAAAGCTGTCATCTTCCCCCTTACGAAGAAGGGAAAGCTTCATGGAGTAGGTGACACCTGACCCAGGCCTCGGAGATATCTAGGGTCTGGAGACGAGGGACCACGGAATTTTCTCTTCTGCGTGGCACACAGAAACACGTAAATCACTAGAGACCACTCAAATAAGGTTTTACTACATGTTTGTCTCTGGCTCCAGAATTAGCAATCTGCAAGTAAGCAGCTGTCATCAGGCCAGGGAACGGTGTTTTCCTCCCTAAACCTTGAAGTCTCGGTCTCAAACCCGCCCGCTTCTTCTCGGGACGGGTAGAACCGGCCCTGCTCTCCCCAGGGAGCGGCCAGAGCGGGCGTTTCAGCGCCGAGCTGTCTGGCTGCGGTGGGCACCCACTCCGCAAAGGGCGCGGCTCTTTGTGCTCCATTTCCCACAGGCCTGGGCAGGTGCGGTGACCCCACGAGGCTCTTAGCCGCCCCGCTGCTCCACCAGGGTCATTCAAGCTCCGGATTTAGAGAGATGCTGCAGAGAGACGCGCGGCAGCCGTAGCACCGCGCCGACCGCGGGTCCTAAACTCTGCTCTTCCCTGCTGTGCATTTAACAAAAGCAGACACCACCAATTCGGGTACGAGCCCCTGTCTTCCCTCTCTACGCAAGGGAGTGGGCGGAGACTCCAGGGTAAGGTTCCTCTAGGGAGACTTTGCGCCTGCGTGGCTCCGCCCAAGCCCCGCCTCCTCTCCGCCGCCCCGCCCTGCTATCCCGCGCTCCACCGCTAGGGGTGGCGGCTGCGGCTCCGGTCTGATTGACGGCGCGGTTGCTTTGAGGGCGCCGCAGCCCTACCGAGCGGGGACAGCGAGAGGCCAGAGGGTGGGAAAGCGGCCGGCGGCGGAGGGCGGCGCCGAAGGAGGGCGGCGCGCGGTGACTCATCCCTCTGGAAGATCAGACACGCTCGCTGAGCCCTCCCGCCCGCCCGCGCCGCCGCTCCTCAACCGGGAGGCGCCCGCCCGCTCGCACCGCCCTCCCCGCTCCGAGCTCCCGGCCCGGCTGCCGCACAGAAAGTTTTTCCGGGCTCAGGGCCTGCGGGAAGCGGGGCTGGCACGGCAAGGGAGGCGGTTGCCGTGCGGGCCCGCCGAGTGCATGGTGCCCGGTGCCCGGGCCGTGCGTCTGGAGGAGCCGGGGCGGGGCGGGGCTGAGCCCAGCTCCTGAGCCTCTGTCCAGCTGCGTCCGAAGCCGGGGACTGTCGCGGGGGTCGCGCTCCAACGCCATGTCCCGGCTGCTGCCGCTGCTGGGGAGCCGGACGGTGCGCAGCCTGAGGCCGGGCCCTGCCGCCGCGCCCCGCCCGCCGTCCTGGTGCGGCTGCGGCCGGGGACTGCTGGCGCTCGGGGTCCCCGGCGGTCCCCGGCTCCTGGGCACCCACCCCAAGAAGGAGCCCATGGAGGCCCTGAACACTGCGCAAGGCGCGCGCGATTTCATCTACAGTCTGCACTCCACCGAGAGGAGCTGCTTGCTCAAAGAGCTGCACCGCTTCGAGTCCATTGCCATCGCCCAAGGTAAGCGGGTGGGGCCGCCTGGGAAGACCTCGTTCTTGGACCCCTGTCGCCTCCCCACCCGCTGGCCTCGCGCCTGGGACCGACCGAAAGGGGAAACTTTCCACCACCTAAGTGTCCCTAAGGCAGGTAGGACACGCACACGCACACTCACGGGTCGTGCCAGGCAGCTGGGGCCAAGCCTGGCTGGGGCCTCCCTAGCCATGGAATTCGGGAGCTTCAGCCTGAAATGCCTGCTGACTCTTGGGATTGTGTTTTGGTTTGTCCCGTGTGCCTCCTCTCTCCGGCCCTCCATTCCTTAAGCCTTTAGTGTCTTCCTGAAACATGCACCCATGCAGGTGGCATGCCCTGCCTGCTCTAAGAAAGGGCTACGAACTGAGCAGGCAAGAAGAAACTTTCTTGAAGGTGCGTGGATGTCCCCCCCAAAAGGGGTGTAACTTCCCGAGTCAGGGATGCTCTAGGGTGTGCATTGTTGCATCTGGTTGTGGACCGGCCCAAGGAAATCTTTTCGCGGAATGGAAAGAATGTATCGAGCCAGCCACTATGTGTGTCCTGGAAGCCTGGAGATTCGAATTGAACTCCAGTTTTTGTTTCCTTCGAGTTGGAAAGAATAAGGGAGTTCTGGGGTGGCTGAAGTTAGGGAATCTGTGGCTTGACAATGAAGAGCACGCGTCTACTTAAAAATAATTGGGAAAGGATGAAGGGACAGCTATTTTTAAACAGACACGTTAAGATAGGATATTTTTAAGACGAGAGCGGAATGTGGTAGGTCAGATTTGAGTGTAGGTGAAAAGGCCAAAAGTTCAGAAAAAGACTCAAAAAATGCAAAGACAAAAATGGATTAAGTCTTAAAATATATTTTTGCTACATAAAATTCTGTTGTATACACAGAACACACTACTGTTTTATATCACGCTCGAATGTGTCGGAAAGTTTTTAGATAGTTGAAGTTGGCACTGTACAATGTATAAGCATTCCATACGTTTTGAAGTGTGGAGTGCATGTATTTGGAATGTGTCTTTCAGGCCCCTTAAAAGTTTGTCCATTGGCCTGTGCCTGAGAGGAAAGTGAGTTTTACCTCATATTAACATACCTTACCTTTATTACTTAAGAAACTTTTTTTATTAGTTATACCCTTTAACTACTTTAATTTTTTTTCTCAGTTTAGGGGATTGTGAACTAATATAAAGTAGTGGATAATTTCAAGCATTGCTTACCCACAATGCTTTTTACAGGAAAATGCAGCATCCCAATCAATTCAGTTGGTGAATCACAGTATTACAGGAAGTCATACTGAATACTAGCACATTTTTAGTCTATGTGTGTTCGCTATGTGTGGCTTAAAATATGTTCTTTGAAAAGCAATATAGATCGTCATGTCTTAGAAGGTCAAATTTTGTCACTCAGGCAAGACTATGTCAACATTCAGTTTCCCTTTTCTAAAGCAAGATCTTGGAAATTCTACATTGTCAACATGTTATGTTGTAAGACAGGACCCTGCGACTATAATTTTATAGCCGTTATTGAAAAGCATATTCCACAATACCTAACCTGCTCAGTTTTATCTCATGCGTTACTATTTTTGCACATGCTGGCAGCGTATCAGGTAGGAGTGCCACATTGTCTAACGAAGGTAGTACCTTTAAATCTAAGATGGTTTTAGATATCCTTGGAAGAACCTAGAAACTCAAGTCCATGGAGGTCATTAGCATCAATAAAGTCTAATGACCTAAGTTATTTGAGGATGCCATTGGTAATGTAAATGTGTTTGTTCAGCAGAAAAGGGTGAATATCTAGGAAAGGATGTGGTGGGTGAATGCTCCCTGTTTATAGGCCAGAGGACTTTGGCGTTTGCCCAGCTGTTTTTGTGGATGCTCCTGACTAAATCATTGCCTTTTGAGTTAAGTGACACTTAGAGGTGCTGCTGCATTAATTTTTAGCCCCCCCCCCCCTCGGTGCTCACTTACAGTTTCCATCACCAGTACATGTAGTTATGAGAACAGCTGGACTTACTTAGTAAGTTACTTTTGATCAATCACTAAGGGTCTTACTGCATTGGGAATGCGTGCAGCTCATGTATGCTATTGCTGAAATCGATGTAGCTTCCCCCCCCCAAAAGAAAACCTCTCATGTTTTTCTTTGCTTTCCCAGTGTTTCTTCTTAATTTTTAATTATATTTTAATCTCTTATTTTTGTATGTGAGTGTGCCTCTTTATGCTTTTGGAGGCCAGAGGACAATGTAGTGGGAGTCATCCCGTCTTTCCTCCCAATGAGATCACACCCAGCCCTTTGGCCTGGCAGCAGCGCCTCTCACCCGTCTTCATGATGTTTTAAAATGCTATCTAATGTACTAATGTATTAAATATATGAGTACTAGCTGCCCTTTCTAATGACATCCAGTCACTTGAAAGGGCTGTTTCTTACTATAGAAAGCCTGTGTGCCCTTGGGAAGGTGCTTAGATAATCCAAGGAAGTGTTCTGACTTTGATGAAACATTACAGAAAGAAAAAAAAATCATCTTTCTTTGAGATGGGTCGTGAGATCAGCTGAAATTTGGCACTTGGTCCTTATCTTTCTCATGTGCCACAGCAGGCTTGTGGTAGGACTTGTGAGAAGATAGCAGCTCTTCAGAATCAGTTCACAGCCGTGAGGCTGACTTTGCGGGGTTGCTTAAGTGAGTTGGGTTGTATTGATTTTAAAATTACAAGCTGATTTCTTTCCCAATTTGAAGAAGTTTATGTCGCACTCTGACCTCCACACCTGGCTCTCTCTCCCAGAAGGGGGCTGCATTCTGCCTATGGCTCTTTGGTAGGACTGATGACAAGCCGAAGTTGTTACAGTTGCCTTTTAGCTTTAGCCAAGATTTTTTTTTTATTTTTTATTTTCGAGACAGGGTTTCTCTGTAGCTTTTTTGGTTCCTGTCCTGGAACTAGCTCTTGTAGACCAGGCTGGCCTCGAACTCACAGAGATTCACCTGCCTCTGCCTCCCGAGTGCTGGCATTAAAGGCGTGCATCACCACCGCCCGGCTTTTTAAGCCAAGATTTTTGAAGCAGTCTTTCTTCTTCCTCATTTTTGTTTATAACATTTCTGTTTGCATTTTTTTTTTTTTTTTTTTTTTTTTTTTGCTTTTGAACCAAGGTAACAGTCACTGTATTAGTTGTTACCTGATACTGGAAAACAAGTTATGCAGAAACACAGAGCAAGCCTCTCACAGTTTCCTTCACAGTTCTGGATTCCTGGAGCCACTGACTTGGGTTTTTCTTATTCTTAGTGTTTCATGATATGGAAATCAAGCTTTTGGCTTTTTGAGATCTTGGCTCGGGCATTCCCTCCCAGCAGGACTCACATGGCTACTGGCTGGCATTGTTGATTCTTTGTTACATGGACCTTTCTACAGGGTAGGTAGCTTTCAAGGTAGAATTCCTGGAGAGGTGGGTGATAGAAGAGTCAAGATGGGTGCTCAGGGAAGGAAGGATGTCTGGAAGCCAGTCTTTTATAGTGCAGTCTTAGGAGTAACAGCTCTTGTATACTGTGGTACCTTGTAGGAGGGTCCTCTACAGGATGTGAATATAACATCAGTGATTGGGAGCCAATGAGGTCATGCTGGAGGCTGATTGCCATACTTACTGAGGTTTAACGAACAGTTACTGTAGAGTTATGTAAGACAAGAGCTGGCTTTGGGAGAGATACCATAAGAGACGAGATTTGAAAAAAGCTTCTTAGGGAATATTATTGTTAAATGTATTCAAAACTTTAAAAAATATTTTTTTTATATGGCAAATAAGATATACCAAGTTGACACTTACCTGGCTGAGGGGATACCATAATTAAGTAGGTGGTTTTCCTAGGATGTGCTGACCCCTGCGGTTTCCCCAAATGGGGCAAACTTGACTGTATATTTTGTGGTAGGGAGGGACTGTGTTTATGTTTTACTCTGAAAAGAAAAAAAAATATTTCAAGGTGAATAGTGCAGTTTTTCTGACAACAGGAGACACATTAGCTTACAATTTTTGTTTCTTTGTGTAAACAGTAATTGTGTACTTTTACGTACTTTTACGTACTCCACTCCATGTTACTTAGATAATTCTAAACTGTATGTCTTCACTCCTCCCCTTTTGTGATTGTTTATTTAAGGTAGGCCAAGCCTCTGTTTGAAGTGCTGGCAAGTAACCTAAAGGGCCTTTGACACAATAAAATTCTGGCTTCTCTTGGGCTGGATTCTAGCGTCCTTATACACGATCAAGTTTTGTCTTGGAGATTGTTCTCCTAGGGGTCTTGTCCCTTTAAAAACTCTCTCCCTATTCTCCAGAGTCTGTTCTTCAGGATCATATGAGAAAGAAGCAGTTATGCTAACATCCTAGCCTCTGGGATAGATTAGAATGGTCTCAGCTTTTGCTCTAAGAGAAAAAAAGCACTTCCTATGCCAATTAAGACACAGGAATAAAGACTTTTCAGTGTCTTAGTTGAGATAATAAAGGAGAAATGCAGGAGGCATAGCCCCAACTGGACTCAGCAAGAGGGCAGAAGTGGCTAACCAGAGGGTCCAAAAAGGGTTTACTCTCAGGGGGCTGGGCCAATTAGAACTGCTGACTCAGGCAGAGACAGGTTTCCTCAGTCACGTGAGTGGTATATTCAGAATGGCGGCAGCATTTAGGTAACAGGTTAGAGCTCCTAGAGGAAATGTTCAAGATGGATAAGAGAAGCTGTAAAACTTTGTGTCAGTTTTCATTGCTGCTGTGCCAAGTTAGCACCCATTCCTGCTTAAAACAACACACTGTTACTCTTCTAGAGTTTTGGCAACTCAGTATCCAAAGTGAGTCTTGAAGGGTGTTTGTCAGCAAGGTCCAGTCCTTCTGGAGTCTCCGGGGAGAATCTGTTCCTTTTTTCTTCCAGCTTTTAGCATTCCTTGGCTCTTGGCCCCATCTCTTGATCTCTGCTTTAGGTGACTTTTGTTTTGTTTTTGTTTTTGTTGTTGTGTTTTGTGCCTTCCCTTTGTAGGGAC